ACAAATTTGTTCAAAAAATTGAACAAATAATATATAAAAAAATGATGGAATTTCAACAGATAATTTGAATATACATAATTTTTGGAGAGATAAATTTCAACAGATAGCTTTTATTTGGACAAAAATTAAACAGATAAAAACTTCGACATATAAGAATTTCAACAGATAGATTCAACGGGTAACGACAATTTTCAATAGATAAAAATAATTTGAACTTTACATTGAAAAAATTTGAACAAATAGATAAAAATTTTGAACAAATAGGGAAAAAATTTCAACATATAGGAAATTTTTTGAAGAAATAGGAAAAATTTCAACAAATAGATATAAATTTGAACAAATAGTCAACGAAGTGATAAAAAAAGTCAAAAAGTAAAATTAGAAATAAAATGTTCTTCAGGACTTCCTACCAAGTTATTTTTCAAAACGTGGACCTCTCAATAATAAAGAATATTTACTAAACCTAACACGTTAGATAATTGTTAAAATGAATTTTTTATCAATTTTCCCAAATTGAAATTACCAAAGAAAAGCAAAGTATCCAAAATCTCCGGACCATGTTTGGACCCACTTGGCCAATGAAGCTGTGGAGTGAAAGGTTCAAGAATTTGAGACCAAACCAAACCAAAAGGAGGCAAACCATCAAATGAACAAAAATAAAAAACAAAAAACCATGGTGTGTTTGATTTTAATTTTTTAGATTCAATTTTTTGAAAGTTGAGTTTGTTATTTTTCATATATATATATTTTTTATTTTTAGTGAATATTTTAAAATTTTAAGCAATTTTTTTTTTTTTTTTACTTTTTTAGATGCACTTTACTTAAATATATCTAAAAAGTAAAATATTTGTAAAAAAATATTTTTAAAATCAATAAATACATAAGAATACGAAAAATGTATTAAATTTTCGTATTTTTTTGTATTTTTTATATTTAGTGAATTTTCTAATGACTTTTTTCATAAATATTATACTTTTAAGAATATTTATGTTAGATGTATCTAAAAATTTTAAAAAAAAATTGCTTAAAATATTAAAAAAATTCTGTAAAAACAAAAAAACATGAAAAAAAAAAAATTTAAAAGTGAATCCTAAAAATTCAAACCAAACAAACTATTATTTTGTTATTTGGCAAATTTATGTATTTCAATGAGTGAAGAACCAAATTGAATTTTCTACAATTTTGCAGCTTGAAGATCGGTTAATTATCAAACCTAGAAATCAAAATTTTAGATTTATTCTGTGAGAGTTCAAGAGTATAGACGTTTGAGAAAGCCGAGAGAGCCAAATCTCTTCATAGCCTTTTCAGAAAAAAAAAAATAAAAAATCCCAAAACAAAACAAAACAAAACAACATCGTCTTGGAAGCATTACAAAGTGCACTAATTACTAAGGATCTGAACTTGTGAAATTGTATAGGCAAACTAACAATTTATTGTGTAATTCATTGGTAAAACAAATATTGTTAGGGGAAGTTAAAATAGAAGAACAATATGTTTGGGAACACATATCAACAAATCTTGTAAAAAAATTACATCCATTGGGTTTGATTATATATTTGGTTTATACATTCCTAATTTTATTGATAAAATAAACGGCATTGGCAGTAGAGTAAAATTATAAATTTTTTAACATTATAACATATCAAAAATTAACTTTGATATTATCATTTTGATGACACCAACCATCTGAATTGCTCTAAATAATTATACTAGGCATCATATATATATATATATATATATTTTTAAATTAATATATCATATTACAATAAAGTAAATGAATTACATCACTATAAAAATATAATACAATATATTATTAGTTTGAAAAAAAATCTCAAAATAGAAGATAAAAATTTTAAACAAATACTTAAAAAAAGATTGGAGTCTCTCCAGTTGGTTTTTCCAACAGGACAGCCTCTTTTGGGTACATCGTGATAATCTAAACTGTTTAATATGTAGAGCTCATCGAGTACTTAATTCTTGGTAAAACTGATATTGATCAGATATCAATAGCTACTTGATCATATCACATTTATGAAATAATTTATTTTTAAAATCATACTTAACATTGACACAAATTTAATTTGATCAAGTGACTATCGATATATGATCAACGTAATTTTTTTCAAGGATGGAATACTCGATAAACCCTATATATTGAACAGTTCGAATTATCGATATAGATTCCGTAATAAATACACAAAATCCTGACAAACACGCTCCAGTTCGATTTCAAGCAACAAAAACAGTTGACCCCTTATACCAATAAAACTGACATACGTATCACAAAATTCATACTCCTAACAACTTGTTGTGGTGATAGGTTCTAACAATAGGTGTTAAAATGTATATCCATTGAGCCCCCTTAAATTCCACTAGTTAGACCATCTCCAATGGTTCATCAATTTTGTCATCAAATTTAAATTTGATAAAAAAAATAATATTTTTTCCTACTCCAAGGGTGTAACTCCCCCGAAAATAAATGACAATAAACTATACATCATGTTAATTAAATAGCAACATATGATAAAATAATTACCCTCCCTTAATTCCAATTAGTTGTACAAAAGAATAACATGTGCAGATATACGTTCACAAGTATAACCCTGAATTTATAACACATGTTACATGATAAGAAAATAAGGGGAACATAAACAAATAAGAGAACGCCCTAATAGTTACAATTTTCCAACACAACTTGATTACAACAAAAGTGAGTTTTAAACTCAATACAAATAAAGTCCTAGGCTTGTACAAAAATAATTACAATAAGTAAACAAAATGAAGCTCTTGCTCCAAATCCCCTCAAGCTATTGCTTTAGCGGAGGCATATCATCAGCACCTGAAAATGGTTGTCCATATAGGGTGAGCCAAAGCCTAATAAAGATACTCTAACACAGTATATGGATCTTAATAAAGCCATAAGGTGAATGCATATGCAGTGTTCATTCCAAAAACATTTTATATCTCTTTCCAAAACCATGCAACGCCAAGCTTGTATCTCAGTTCATGAATTCATTTCCTTTAAAATAGAAAACAAGGCAGTGGATACAACACTGGAAATCTCTAAGATGTGTTTGCAAGTAGGCTACAAGCAGTACCAATCTGTCATTTTTACCGGTATTTACCGAAAGGCTCGACACCTAACTACGCAAATTTTTGGACTTTCACTAAGGGCACACAGGCCAACATAATATCACAACTACACTCCTACCCAGATTCACCAAGGTATTCACTAACTTTTCTCAAAATAGTATACATTTTCAATGTGTAGATTTGTTACAATGCTCAATGCAAATGAATGACAAAATAGTTTCAATTCACTTATTTCACACGCATTTTCTACAACAATCATAGTTATCCTCTACTGATAGCTCACAACAAATATCTCTACACAATAGATAATTTCCAATATAGATATACTTTCCAAAATCACAAGACGAGAATGATAATACATATCTAACTCTACCATCATCATCATCCTTTCAATTCCATAAAACCAACATCAATTTCATTTTCTCTTTACAAAATCCAATATTCACCGTTTAGGGCAAAAACCCACTTTCTTTAAAATCATCTCCCAAGGATAAAATCCATTATTCATCACAACCTAATCATTTTTACAAAGACACAATCATATACAATAATCCATTTGAAAACCCCTATTTTGAATCTTTAAACCAAACCCTAGACTTTGTTTAAAAACTCCCAAACCACCACATAGCTTAGAAAATCAAATAACTAAGGTAAAAACCAGACAAAGTGTCAAAGTAATCTCTACCTCAAAGAAAAAGACCCAAATGAGAGATGAGTAGAACTCAACGGAGCCGAAAACACGAACTTCATCGGTTAAAATGAAACCTTCGACGTGCTCTCTCTTTTTAACAAAGGAACTAGGTGTAGAAATGAGTGGATCAGGGTGTACTTGGAGCTTAGAGATGATTTCTAGAGAGAGAGAGAGAGAGAGAATGGTGTGAAAAAATGACTCAAAAAGTGAACTTTACGACCTGATATACGTATAGACCGCTCAAGCGCAGGAATGGTCGCTCGAGTGACCAGACATAATAAGTTGGACCCCTCGAGTGAAGAATACAAATCCTAAAAGTTTTGTAGATAGAAGACCACCACTCGAGCTTAAAAAGTACCACTTGAGTGAAGAATGACAACTCCTAGTATCTCTGTAGGCCTGCAAAAGTACTGAGAGTTCTAAAAAACCACTTGAGCGCAAGAAATGTCGCTCGAGTGAAGAAGGCGAAATTTGGGTAGGAATTATTTTGAAAAAAACTAACTCCCAACCCGTTCTAAACGCAACTAAGACACTCAAATAACCAAACTCAATGAGAAATAAGGAGAAATAAGACATGAACGATCGTATAAGATAATAAAACTCGGATCTAGAACATCAAATGTGTCTGGTCTAAACTAGAATTGCAATAAATGGTTTCATCAAATGAGTATCAAATCGAGGATATCAAAAATCTTTCACCAAATTGAAAATGCTTGGGAGCTTTCATCGAATCACTGTTCATAAGAGTTTGATTTTCACTGCTGGATGTCTCCCGGATATCCCCCGGATGACCACCTTTAGGCAAAAAATTTGTAAAAAAAAAAATACACTGGTCGATTGACTAGCCAGACATCCGCTTGGTCGACCGGTATTTTAATGAAAACCTAAAATCATCCGTTGAAACACTTGATATCAAATAAAATTATTACTCAAATTTTTATTCAAATTTAATGAAAAAAATTATACAATCAGAGATGCTCTTACATACCAATTGGATATCCTTAAAAACAGTTATAGGAATATCTTCTTCGTGATTAGGGATTATATGACCTCGCAGCCAAACTGACCCAGATGATCGAAGTCTTTTTCCTTTCTCTCTCTCCCCCAATTTCTGCTTCTGCGTCGTTCTTTTTGAGATTCTGTTCGAGTAGCTTTGTAGTACTATACACACACACACACACACATACATATATATATAGAGAGAGAGAGATCAGAGATGGTGAATCAAGGGGCCAAGAAGCGAAAGGAAGAGAACAGTTGTCACCTGAAGAACGTCCTTTGCTTTATCATCTTTTCCAATGTTAGATTCTCTCACCTTCTTATCATTTCTCCATATTTCACTTTCAATTAACTCCTCTTTATCATCAATTTCTTGTTGCTTTTCAATTACTAGAAATATTATGTGTCTATCATGATTGGATTGTTGCTGTAGTCAAAATTTCATCCCCAACACATTAACAATCAATTTTCAATTTGTTTTTCCCTTTGCACTTTCTCAGCTACCAAACGGAGCTCTGTGATCTTTTAACTAGAATAAAACTGAAATCAGGGATTAATATGATAGTATTTGAGAAGTAAAATCAAAGAACTCAATTCAACCTATATAAAGATTAATTTTTTTTAAAGTACTTTTCCTTTGTCCTGCCTTTTTTCAACAATCAAACAAAGCTCCAACTTTTTTTTTTTTTTTTTTTTTTTTTTTCTACAAGTGAAAAGATACTGAATTAAGTAATGAATTGCAACTATGGGATGGACTACTAAAGAAAAAATAGTTACAACTTCAAGTATCTAGACTGAATTTTTAAGTTATGATAGTGCTATGTACATGAATTATGTCTCACTTCTTAACTTGTTACTTTTCGGTTTCCTTGAACTTTGATGTTTGTTACTTGGTCTTGTTTTTTGAATCTTGATTTTGCTTTGTGACTGTTTCTAGTTAGATTTTTTTGTTCCATTAAATTGATTTATTGGTTAATTGTGGTTGTTGTCAATATAGTCTATTTTAAAATCAATGCACTTTGTTCTCAATCAAAAGTTGTGCTTATCTAGGTTTTTTATCTTGTGGTGAGGGCGGGGATCTTCCATTCTACTTTCAAGTGGAAGCATTGGGTTGGCTTCTTGTTGACTTTTTTCACCTACGTTATCCCCTATCAACAACTTGCCACGATGGCAAAACCTACATATTCTGAAAGTGGGGAGCTTGAAGATGGTGGGTTTGATTTGACTACTGATGGAGTTTGTGGGTATGTTTCCCTAATGTTATTTCTGCTTTTGTTTCTTCCAGGTTTCATATTTAATCTTCTCTGGTTTTGTTGATATTTTGGTTCCATTTTTATATTTGAACCAAAACCCTTTTGCTTATTTGTAAAATGAAGTTTTTGAAAAGTGCAAGGAGTGCAAATCTAAGAATTCGAATAGTGGAGAAGTTGCAATGCTTAGAATAGAAATGATGGTTGAATTGTGGAAGTGATGTTGATCTATCCTACATGGGCTTCTACAAATGAGGCTAGAGGAAGAGAATAGAGAAAAGGGAAACAAGAAAGAGGAATGAGATGTAATTAAGTAGGAGAACTTACACCAAAAAAAAACCCCCCAAAAAAAGAATGTAGGAGAAAAGTCCTGGGAGGGAGAAGAGCTGGACGAAGAAAGAGTTTTGAGAGATGAGGGTTAAGAGGCAGAGGAAGATGAAAAGGAAGGTAAGAGAGGATAAGGGAGAAAGAACGAACAAGAGAGATAAGTTAGGGTGGGGTTATGAAGGTTGAGAGAAGCAGAGCATGCACAAAGAGAGAAGCTCATTCATATTTTAAGTTTTGGTATCTTTGTTCTTTCATATCTTTTTTTTCAAGCTTTAGAAAACCTAAATCTTGAAGGATAATGACGCAATCAAATATACACGGGAATTGGATATTGTTCTAGTAGAAGAAAGGGGCACTCAAATCCATGAGAAAGACATAATCTTAAATCCACAAGGAAGAGAAATTTTTGAAATATTATTGATAAATGTTGTCTTTGCCCCAAGGCTTACGTAGATATTTATATCAACATCAACTAGGGAATCTAATATTTATAATCTATTCCATGCCAAATTGCCAGATTTCTAATAAAATACTAATTCCAAAATACTAAAATGAAAATATAGAAAATCCGAAAAACTTGTCCTACATCATACTCTCCTTCTATTTATTTATTTATTTATTTTATTTTTTATTTTTAAAAAAACCCCTCATCCTTGAGTTCAATTGTTTGAAGTAATTTGATATGCTTACACTTGTCGCATTAGATTTGTATTCAAGATTAATCTTTCCCCAACTTGATATTTATGTGACAATTTTCCAAAATTAGTACAATATTAATTGTGTAAATTACAAATATACCCCTTGAGATTTGCTCAAAATACGAATTGTCCCCTATAGTTTGTACTACATCTTTTGATGTGTAAATTGATTCTCTTGTGTTTGTCCCATTTGTGGACTTGTAACATAATCTTTTGTTGCATGTACTGTTGTGGCATTTAAGGTGCTAACTGGCGAGACATTAGTTGTCTGGACTACATTCAAACTTGTTGATTATCGTTATTAGTAAACTTCCTTACTTTTTTCTCAATCAAATAAATTTCAATGACCTCTTTTTCATTGTGTATTTATCTAGATCTTCGTATTTTTTTAAACTTGGGAATGCTTGTAACACTTTTTTTTTCAATATTAGGTTGATCATGACAATTTTGTTGACCTGCAAAGCTCGATTAACTCAAACACAATAGACCTGCTATTTTTTTCCTCAAATAATATGTATCCACAGTGTATAATTGTTATGAAATTCTGAAAAATATTGGCAAAGTAGCACAAAACGGATACGTGACACAACACAGACACGCCGACATGAAGATTTTCAAAAAATAGAAGGCGTCGTATGTCTTGGACACGTTAACAATTTATATTTTTATAAATTTATTTTATGTCAAATATATCAATAGTTTATTTTTTTGTAATGAAAAAAATAACATAATACTACTTTAAATTTATAACATGTATATGTATGTCGTATGTATGAGTGCCTTTGTGTAGTTACCTTTTCCAGTCTCTACTGATCAATAAAGATTTGAGTTGGCATTAGTTATTTAATGATACCTAAATTCTTGATATCTCAGTTGAAAGGGGCACGATTACTCAAACCTATTTGTATGGAACCTCGTTGAGTTGGACAAAGGTCCCCACTCCGAAGTGGGCTCCAAGGCTCCTACTCCAATACGCATGAGAGCTAACAGGTCAACTAACACCATGTAAGTAAAGGGCGCGTGGTGCCTGTGAATGATGGAACCGCTCAACAGAATCTTCGCTCTCCTCTATTAAGGGGTGTATTAGCATCACGGCTAAATACCAGCCGACGAACGAGGGATCTTGATGAGCAAGTCATACAATCCTTATAAAAGGTAACCTTACTCTCCTTGAGAAAGAGTGATCTCTTGACTGTAGAAACACACTGGTCTTCTTTATCTTGTTTCTACCAAACTTTGGTGCTAACTCGACTGTCGGAGGGGTTTCTGACCAACTCTCGGTCGGGCAGCCTAACCATTTGTTCCTTGTGCAGGCCTTCACCCATCGGTGCACCAAGGTTCATCCATAAAGTTCCATCTTAATCTATTGCGGAAACTAGTCCGCACATTTGGCGCCGTCTGTGGGAATTGTTCTCTGATTGCTTTGTGACAAACTCCGACGATGGGTATTGAAGGAACCTCACAACCTTAGATTGGAGAGAAGACTCCAAGAACGGAGAGAACCAAAGACAAGGGTCTAGCCTTCCCTACCGGGAATGACAACCTGATGGACCACGACAGTTTGACCCTCGATACGGTGGAGTGATGTCATCTTGCTGCCTATTAGTCATCTCAACGGCTGTTTGTTGAGAAGGACCACTGTGATCGTGTCATCGACTCGATGAGTCTAGAGATTGAGGAGCTACGTGCTCAACTGAGGAAGCAGATGGTACCTCAGGGTGAGCCAAGGAAGTCTGGAGGGGGACCGTCGTAACAACAGAGGCACACTCCTCCGCTGTCCTTACGACGTGAACGGTCTAACTACGGTCCTGCACGTGGTGAGCGCAGCCAGCTGATTCCGGTACGCAGTGAGAGAGCCAGTTGTAGGATAGAGAATCCCCGAGAAGACTCTCACAAGAGACAAAAGTCCATCAGTTATTATTCAGCAATCTCTTCTCCAACGCGCCGTCATGACGAGCGACCGCATCACTTGAGAACATGGTTGAACGACAACCAAGGGGATGATCGACGGTCGAACAAAGTAGCAGAACAGCGATTAAAAAGGGAAAAGGAGCATCTAGATCAGTCCATTCATCAGATAAAGCGTCGCGTTCTAGATCGACTAGTCTCTTCCCCCATTTGCCCTGAGATTGAAGCAGTGGAAGCTCCTCATAAGTATAATCCACCGAAATTCATCCTCTATGATGGAAAGTCAGACCCCCTGACTCATATCAACCATTACTGCCAAATTATGTTACTTTGGAATTAGAACGATACATTCATGTGCAAGGTTTTTGCCTCTAACCTTGGTGAGCACAGCCTCTGGTGGTATGAAAAGCTTCCTCCTCAATCAATCTATGATTAAGCTCAGCTCTCCAAGGCCTTTCTCGCACAGTTTGTTTCTAATAGCCGAATCCCAAAGGGATTGGACACCTTGTTCAATACTCGGAAGGATAAAAAGGAGTCTTTGCACGAATACGCTCGACGGTATTGGGAGGCGTATGGTGATTTGGAAGAAGATGTTTGTAGTGAGCCGTTGGCAGCTCTATACTTCAAACAAAGCCTCCCCCCTTCCCAGAAGCTTAGGCAGTCATTGGCGAAACGACCTGCCTCTGACTTGAAAGAGCTGAGGGCTCAAATAGAGGAGCGAGCCCGTATGGAAGATGACATAGCCTCTATACAAGTGTCAGTTGCAGATGAGGGAGTTAAGGCCTCTTGGCAACATAGGGCCGTACAGCCTAGGAGGGAGGACCAAAGAAAGAGGTATGGCCAAAATAAGCAACCGACCATGCAAACCAAAGAAGAAATGAGTAGATCCTACGAAGCCATAACCGCTGTGTTCACGGAACCGATCTACAGGCTCTTGGAAAAAATCAAGGGAGAACCCTACTTTGTTTGGCCTCCTAAGATGATGGGGGACCCTACTCGGCGCAATCAGGAGTGGCGGTGCATCTACCATCGTGAGAAAGGGCATAAGACGCAGAGCTGCAAAGACCTTAAGAGGTATCTTGAAGACTTGGTCACTGTCGGCCATCTCCAGCAATGGATTGATGTAGAGAAGACAAGGGCTAATCATGGGCAACCCCTAGCCTCTCCACTAGAGGACCAAGCCCCAAGGCTAGTGAACAACGTCATCCATGGGATGACCAACCCCCAAAGGGAGAATGCCCTTCGTGGCGAGATTCAGAGAGCCACGCACTTGTAACAAGTCATGTCAGTAGGACCATTGCTCAAGAAGTCCAGAACGGAAGCAAAGCCCTCTCAATTCAACATTGTGTTCTCCGGGAAAGATCTAAAAGGGATCCAACATCCTCACATTGATGCCTTGATCGTGACCATGTGCTACCATCACAGCTGAGGACTAGGTGGAGAACGAGGGAGCTTGATGAATAAGTCATACGATCCTTATAAAAGGTAACCTTACTCTCCTTGAAATGGGCGATCTCTTAACTCTAAAAACACACTGGTCTTCTCTATCTTGTCTCTACCAAACTCCCTTTCTCACCACCTAGGTGGCACCTTCTACCTTAGAGTTCGGTCCGATGTCCCTAAATGATCTTAGACCTTCCTGATTCTGATAAGCATTCGAAAGATTTCTCTATGGCAGGAGGGAACTTTCGAGTATCCTGCTGGTGTAGAGGACCGACCAATGCGAATATCTCGTGAAGGTGGTGGTCTAGGTTAGCTTTTGTTCTTAGCGCTTTACTTCCACACTTTTGGTGTTGACTTTTAACTTTTGTTGTATGACTTCGATAGGTGATTCCCGGATGAGGAGGCGGACTACCAAAGAACATTTGGCTAACCTTGAGATTGCCTTTGCCTACCCCTACCGATCTGTGACAAAACTGCTTAATTACAAGGCCACTTACAAGCACAAGCTTAATGAGAGGAGGGTTCATGTAATTGACTACTTTAGGAAGTCTCCAGAGAGGTCATTGGAGCAGCAAGCTTGTGATAACATTGGTGTTTTTACTTCCGCCACTGTTCGGT